TGTATTTCTAATAAAATTTACGCACAAATTATATTTTCATTTCAATTATTTTTTAAATTTTTTTTAATTTATATATTATTTATTATTTATAATCACTTAAAAGTTCTAAATCTTCTATAGGTACTCGTGTAATAAACTTATAAGTGAAAGAAAAAAATAATTATTTTTCTTAATAGAAAGTAGAGAAAGAAAAGAATTTCAAGAAATTTTGTATATATTTTGAGCTTATATATGAAATCGTTTTTAAACTTTTTTTTTAAAAAAAAATGAAGAATCACAAATACATTTACAAATATACTTATCAAAAAAAGAAGAAAAAAATAAGAACCACAAAGTATATTGTCTATATCGATTTTTCGAACGTTGAGACTAAATGAATCATAAGAAATTTAGAGAAAAACATCATTATACTATTTTTTAAAATAAACCAACAAATATTATAAATTATCTTACAAAATTTTCAAAAGTATTGAATTTGATAATCTCTAAAAGTAATGAATTTGACAATCTCTATATGTGTTAGTCTCTTCATCCTCTTTCTTATAATTGATTTATCATATACTTGTATTCCATTTAATGTAGTATATGTTGTTACTTATGTTTGATTGAACATTGTTTGGTACAATAAAAAAAGTTGCAAAATATGTATGAATTATTTCAACTTCACTGCAACGATATATTTGTCATAAAAAAGTTAAGTTTTGTCTCTATTGTTAAATCAAAGATACATAAAAATAGCTCTCAAAATTACATTGTCAATTAAGAAGTAGAAAAATGTTTATGATTTTGTAGAGTATATACACTTCCGATTCCATTTTATTTTGTTTCTTATATTTTGTTCGAGAGTTAAATTATATGAACTTTCACCCTTATTATATTGAATATGTGTTTTTTTAATCATATTAATGTGAAAAACATTGAATCTTATAGTATTTTTTGTACATATTTCAAAATATTTAAATTTTAATTCTAAAATAATGGATTAATCTAATTCAATTGAGCATTGAGAATAGTTAAAATAACCATAAAAAGGTAAAATATGATAAGTAAAATGAACGAAAGCAGTAATCACTTTAGAATTTAACATTGAGGTAGATGTTATAGGTCGAATATATGAGACTCATTGATGTAGATTTTAACACATGATATCAAAATTTATCAAATATTGAGTAAGAAATATTTTAATAAAGAGTTCTCAAAGTAGTTCTCAACCAAAAGAATACATCAATTATTTAGTAATTGAAATATATTATGAGACTCCTTGATTTATCAAAATATCAAGATTTGAATGTTGAGTAA